CTCCGAAAGGCTGCTGGTTCAACTCCCGGTCAGGGCACTTCCGCAGGTTTCAGATCCTGTCCCCGGTCAGGGCACGAGCCGGAGGCAACCTATCGCTGTTTCTCTCTCTCCCTCCCCTCCCCCGCTCCCCTTCTCTCTTGAATAAGAATAAAAAAACCTTTTTAAAAAAACAGAATAAAGGTAACATGTTCCTTTATTTCCCATTTCAGACTATCATGGTGTTGGATTTGCTTGAGTCTTACTCTCTGTTCCGAAAAGTGTCTCCCCCGTGGTTCCAACTATAATAGTGACACCTTCAAGAAGAACAATACAGTGAAAAACCCTTGCGTGGTCTTTTTCTGCCCCGTTTGGCCACAGCCGTAGCTCGGAATAAAACAGTTTCGCGGCACAGGGGACACCGCACGGCTGCGGGCTGGCGGGGCGAGGCGAGGCCGCGGACGCCGGGGCTGTCTGTGAAGAGCGGGGCCGGAGGGGAAGCACTGAGAGCATGCCCCAACTTTCCCAGGATAAAAATAACTTAGGATGCAAAGCAGTTTTCAAGGGGAGGTTCCCGAAAGCGCGACAAAGCTACTCGGGGCTTGAGAAGCCTAAAGGGACGCCACAGAGCCTGGGACAAAGTCGCTCGCGTCACACCTCTAACACACGTCTAGAGCCAAATGCCCAACACTAGGCTCGGGCCGAGGCAGGATCTCCGGGCTTCGTCCCCGAAGCCCTTGCTGTCCCCCCTCCTGCTGAGGGTGCGCAGGCCCTGCGATCCAAGAGGACGCTGCAGCGGGTCCCCGATGTGCGCCGGGCCGCAGGCTCACGCTAAGCCCCGCCTGGCACTTTGCCTTTTAACCACCACAGCTCACGCTCACAAAGCTCCACGCCCCTGCCCCAGAGAGGAGCACGCCTGAGCGTAGAGAAGCCGGCTGGTTCACCAGCGTTACCCAGGTGACCGCCCGGAGACTTGGAACTCACGCCCAGACGGCCTGCCCACGAGCACGAGCCCCTCCCTCCCCCCTGTGCCGACTCCGCCCCTCTGGCCAGGACAGGGCCCTGTGTTTGGGGGCCCCGGTGAACGTGGGGTCCCACCCGGAGAACTGCAACACCAAGTCGCAGATACCGGACGAGGCGCAGGGCCTGGGAGGGTCCACCCGGGGGCGCGGCCCAGCCAAATCCTCCGGCTTCAGGGTCCGCGCACTGCCAGGCGGAGAGCTGGGGGCAATGAACACGGGGGAGCTGAAACTCTCGCTGATGAAGAGAGCGGGCACCCGTCGGCCGCCGCCAGTCCAAGTGGACAGGCCCTTCCAGGGCAGAGGCTTCGTTCAGGCGAACAACGAGCAGAACAGGGAAAGGCGGCCACCGGAGGAAACCAAAGCCGCGTGCAGTGGAGGAGGGGAGGGGGCTGCTTTTTCTAGGGCTCCGCCCCTGGTTCCTGACTGGTCCGTTTTTAGGCAGATGAGAAATCCAGATGTGCACAGTCTGATCTGTCAAAACAGCACTGTCCTAACTGGGTGGCTTCATACATTCTCAAGAGTCGTGACCGTGCGTGAGAAAGGGGCCGTGTACTACACCCGACACCCTCGGGGTGGCCCGCGTGCGCGTGGCGGCCTTCAGACACAGAGACCTCCGACGCGGAGAGTCTCGCCATAGGAGGGACTGAAGGTCAGACTTCTTAACCACAGTGGGCCACGGCAGGGAGTCCTGTCCCAGGCAGGGGCTGCCTTCGGCAAAGGTCCACCTTTCCCTTGAGCCGGTCCATTGCCTGAGCAATCCCTCCTCCCGGCCCCTCAGGGCACAGTCCCTACGCCCCCGCCCCCATGGAGCACAGGACCAGGAGCCCCTCAGTGCTACCTTGCTCCCCGCAGACCACCTCTGTGTGCCATGAATGTTAACTGGTAACTATCCCGTACCCACCAAGGCAAAAGAGTCTGTGTCTCTTCGTTTTACCCTTCATCCAATCCCAGAGGATCCCGCGCTTTGCTTTCTCCCGCTTCCCTAAGCTCTCACCAGTGGCTCTTCTGTGACCCCCTCTTAAAGCCGCCTCCTTTGATTGTAATGGATAAACTAAGGTGCAACACTGCGATTCTCAGAGCATTTCTCAGTCCGTTGAGGTCTGGCTTCCCGGCCATTGTTGTCAGTGTGACTCAAATAAATTCATCCAATTTCTCACAGGTCTGGGTGTCCTTTACGCTGATCTTGTGGAGCCGCTCTGATTGGTCAGTACAGGGACACAAGCTGGCCTCGGGGCAAACATTCTCGGACGGCCTCCCCCAGCTCTTCTAACTCTGTTTACTTCCCTCTACAAAGCCGCCTTTTGCGCAAAGCCGGAGAGGCCTGCAGATCTTAAGGTCGGGGATTCTGCCGTCGCAAGCGTCCCTTTGCCCTGCGGTGATCTTCTTGAACAAAGCCTCCCCGAAGTCGTGACCTGTTTTTTATTTGGCAGTGGTCAGGGAAGGCTTCCTGCAGGAGGAGGCATTTAAACACAGGGACTGTGGTTTGAGGGAAAACTGGAATTAAGGGATTATGGGAGGCAGTTCTGTGTTTAAGAAACAGATGTTTTTTAGCCTAAAAGAAAAGGGGATGGAACTGTGGAGCACACCTAGTTATTCAGAGGAAGGAAGACGTTCAAGGAACCTGAAGGGGACAAAGAGGTAGTGGGACAGACGGGGAGGCGAGGACGGCACAAGAAGATCGTGGGGCAGCGGTTCACGCGTTCTGTCCCCGGGTTTATTTTATCGAGCACCTACTGTGTGCTGTCCACTTTACCAGACAGTGGGGACTCAGAGGTGAACACGGTGCACATGGGTCTGGCCTTGCTGCCTAGAGGGAAAGACAGATTTTTACAAAATAATGTTTATGTAAGAAACATCCAAACCTGTAGAGAATTTTATAAGAATTTGAACCTGAACGGATGACGTTGCAGGGAAACAAGATCTCAAATGGTCCCGAGAGTGAGTCTTGCAGTCTCTCTTGTGCGTTTAGAGTTGAGAAGGGAACGCAGAGGAGATTACGGGAGGGGAGAGAAAGCAGGGCGGGGTTAGGGTTACAGGATCATCGCGACAGTGTGCTCCCTTTAGGCATCTGGAAGAGGCAATTACTCCTGGCATTTCCAAGATGTGCCAACCTGGGTGAGGCAGGAGAGTGGGGGAGGAAACTCTGGAGGCACCCGGGGCAAAGATAAAGGGCATCGATACTGGACAGAGACCCTGTTCTAGGACCGGTTGTTCCCGTTCTCTGGCAAAGCGCTGAATCAGGGAGAATCAAGGACACACCCACGCAGAAGAGGCTCCGTGACCCCTGCTTCATTATAATAGCATTACAATAAATTAGCCTGTGGGACCCCCTTCCCCAGTGGCCAGTCAAGGAAAATCGTGGGAGACCACACGCGCAGTAGCTTCAAAGTAATACAACTACTTGCACATGTGCAATAAAACCCACCAAAACTAGCCAGGAAATAGCCGCCCTGTACGGATAGAATCCCTCCAGCCCTGGAGGTCAGCCTCTGCTGGGGGCCGGCCCGTTCCCGGGCTCTGCAGAGTGAACTGGCACTTAGCAACACCCCCGCCCCCCCCCGCCCCGCCCCATCCCTGCTGCTATAAACTCTGTGTGGTCAGTTCAATTCTTTGTCCGCGATCACCAAGAACCTGGTGACCTGTGCCCACCTGCGACACAGATGCACAAGAACAATGGGAGGGACGGACGCAAACCTCCTCCGAAGGCAGTCAGAGGCCTGGAGGCTGACGACACACCATGGCCCGTGCGGTCGGGAGTTTGTGATCAGGTCACCCTGCGAGGTGACTTTTGGTTAGATTTACTGCAGTGCCCCGTTTTTCACCCACAGGAATCCCACATTTTATTTAAAACGGTGAATTCTGCGTGGGCTTCATCCAGGAGTACATGTTTCTTGCACATCTGGTATCCAGACAGCCCTGGGCCGCAGAGGGCCCTGAGGCAGCCGTGTGGTTTTTACTCACAAGGTAGAGAGGAACGGGCACTAACCAGGGCAGGGGGGGGCGGTGCTGGGGGTAAGGGGCAGAGTGGAGGTCCCCGTGGAGGACCGGCTGAGGAACGAGAAGGGCAGAGACTTCTGGCGGAGCCCCGATGCCCGACGCCTGGGATCCCGGGCTGCGGGGCAGAGCTGGCCCGGCCCGGCGCACGAGAAGCATTTCGGCGCTCATCCAAAGCCGGGCGACAAGCCCTGAACATTGTTGCACGGGGTGGCCCCACGAGATGACCCCTCACTGTAGAGCCAGCCTTGCGACACAGGGCGAGGTCACTGGCTACCTTTTGCGGGTGCCGCGGGTGCAGACTGGGAAGGGGGAATGGGGACGGCAAAGGCCTGGGCGGCCTGCAGCCAAGAGTTGGACACCTGTCATTTAGGAGTGGCCTCCCTTCCTGCTTCCACCCAGCTTCGGTGGATGGCACCTCCCGGCCCTTGCGCCCAAGGCCATTGGTTGCTGGCCGGTGGCAGGTGTGCAGCCACCGGCTTGCTTTTCTGTCTGTCCGCGGAGAAGGCTCATGGCCCTGGGCGGCAGGGGCAGCCCAGCCCTGCTGCCCCGCGGTCCTGTCCAGGGGCCCCGAAGGGCTGTACACAGTGGGGGCCTTGCGATGGGAGTGGGCGGGCGGAGCTCGGTGGGGCCGGGGGAGCTTGGGAGCTACAGGCTGCCGCTGCGCAGGCCTGCAATAAGGCGGCCAGAAGACACGCCACTGGGCCTGCCCAACTCCTTTACTGCGACAGCCCGACCCTGAGAGACAGCCGAGCTCGGCGCGGGCACGGTGGCGGGGGCCCCGAGTACGTCGGGCAGGCGGCTCCAAAGCGGACCTTGAGGGCCTGGGACGAGAGCGGGTAGCCCGGATGAAGTCTCCGCCAGGCGACGCGGCAGAAAGCGCGCCTGGGCGCCCTGGGGGAGGGTTCTCCCGGCGCGGGGCGGGGCACCGGGGGCGTGTCCGTCTGTGGGGGCGTGTCCGTCCGGGAGGGTGTCCGTTACGGGGCGGGGCCAGGCCGGAGGCGGAAACCCTCGGGCCTGGTGACTGCAGCTGCCGGGACCGCGGGGTGGCAGTGGGGATCGCGGCGCGGGCAGGGACGCGGGCGTGTCCAGCGGGCTCGGGTGAGGCAGCGCGCCCCCTGGGGCTCGGGCGCTCCAGGCCGCTCCGGGTGGTCGGCGGGCCGAGGGCCGGGGCGCGGGGTGCGCTCGGTAGGGCAGCACCACGCGGAGGATCGGGGCCCTGGTGGGCGGAACTCCCCGCCTTGGGCGGGGCGGACGGCGCTGGAACGCGCTTAAGGAATTGTGTCTGTTTTCAGGGACGCGCAGGCTCGGCCCGGACCCTCTGTGCCCCGCGTGCTTTGGAAGCCGAGGCTTTGCGCCCAGCCGCGTCGCTCCCGCAGGTCTCGAAGCGATGGAGCCCGCAGCGCCTCGCCGCGTGCTCCTGTGCTCCCTCTGCCTGGCCTTCTGCTACCTGTGCTGCGCGCAGGGGCTCTGGAGGAGGTAGGTGAGCACCTGGCCGCGCGGCGCCGGTCCCCCACCCCCTCCCGGCTGCCCTGAGCTCCCCGGTGTTCCTGGGCGGGCGGCGGGATCCGCAGAGGGTCCCGGCATCGGAGGGGACCCGTGCCGGGTCGAGGCGGTGCGCCTGTGCTCCGAAGTTCTCCCAGAGGTTGTGGGCGCACCTGTAGTTTAGATCGCACTACGCTGTCGGTGAAATGGTGCTGGTTCCTCCTTTTAAGTTTCCTGATCAGCCCTCCCCCGCCCCCTTCCTTCTGTCCCAGTGACAATCAGGGTGGAGGTGAGTGGGCTGTGTTGTAGAGGACCCTCACCTGACTTTGGACAGGAAACCAAAATTTGAGGGCCAGATTTCAGTGTTTCCTTCTATTTTTATTGAGTAATGGTCGCACTAACAGAAGGATTTCATGCTTACACGGGAGTAGGAAAAGATGGGTTTTAACTTTATAATGAAAGTTTTTATTAAACCATTGCGGTTTTATAACATATTTTTCAAGGGAAGGTCATGTTTCAGTTTTCCCAGAAAGCGTGTTTTTGGAAGAGCCAGGCCATCGGTTGGTTCCTGCCAGTGGCCCTGGAGAGGCGATGGGGGAGCCCTTGCTGAGTGGGACCTCAGCGCTGTGGGTGGCGGTTTGCTCCCCTGGGAAGCAGAAATAAAAACAGCACCTGCCCTTGCCCTGTCCGGGTGGCTCGGCTGGTTGACTGGTTGCCTGGTAGAGATTGTGGGTTCGGTCGCCGGCGCTCTCCCTACCCTGCCCCCTTCGCGAACTATGAGAGGGAACGGAGCAATGTTTCTCGTTCTCTCTCCCTTCCTCTCTCTCTAAAATCAATCAACGTGTCCTCGGGTGAGGATTAAAAAGAAATTATATATAAAAGTTCCTGCCCCTACAGCGGATGCGCATAAAACCCCGCCTGTCCAAGGGTCATCGGTCCGTGTCAGCTAAAGGCCAAGGCCGGAGCATGTGCCCCCACCCCACACACACTTATGTGCCATGCACCTGCCTTAGCTGGACAGCCACCCTCACTGGGACAGAACTGATCCAGACCCTCGGGGACCGCACAGATAAGCGGGCGTTTTCTCAAGGTGATGGGCTGAGAGCTCCGTGGCCGCCACTTGCCCTCTGCTCAGCGGGACCGGCAGCTTCGCCGTGGCTTTGGGAGGAATCTTCTCTGGACTCAGTCGCTCTCGGCCTGGACTGGGGGTAGGGACTGTGTTACAGGTGCTTTGATCGTCTTGGTGGTTTTATTGTAAGCGGCAAGCCGCCAGTCTGGCCTGCCGGCCGTGGCCTACCCTGCAGCCTGCTTCCCACCTGTGGAAAGCCAGGCTTTTGCACGCGGGGGAAAGCTAGCTCCTGATGCTTCTCCCAGCTCTAGTTCTCCCGCTGCTTTTCCTTTTGTGCTGGGCGCTTGCCTCACCACTTCAGACTGAAAACCAAGGTTTCATGGCGTCGCGGTTCGGTACTTACTCAGCAGTACTCACTCATTCACGAAATCAAAGGAGCGCAGGCTTGTCCTGCTTCACCTGTGAGTCCTCTGCTTGAGGACATCCCCGTTGCTGCCTCCATCCATAGCCTGAGTACTTTTGCTGGTGGCCCTTTCTGTCTCATCTGTCTGCCTGCCTGCCTGCCTGCTGCGCCTGGCCAACGGGGGTGGAGCTTCCTGCTGGGGGTCCGCATGTGACACAGCCCCGGTCCCTTACAGGAAAGTCTTAGTGTCCAGACAGCGCCCGGGGTCTGAAAGGGCCCCCTGTGGTCGACCGTCACCCAGGCTGCAGAGAACAAGGGCGGCTGTTCTCTGAGGGGGCGCTGACAGAAGGACCTCAGGCTATCTCCGGTCCTCCGGGGCCAAAGGAACACAGCAGGGGAGTTGGCAGGGCCCGTGGGCGTCGCCAGGGCACGGGGCGGGGAGGGCCTGCCCGTGAGCGCGCTCGGGAAGAAGGCCTCGGTGGCTCTTCCTGCGTCCCAGTCTCCACGGCCCTTAGGAGGCCGTCCTGGCTTCCTGCCCGCGGCTCCGACCCCTCCCCACCCAGCCAGGCCCAGCCGCCCCTAGTTGCAGCCTTCACCCCTCCTCTCTGCCGGACGCCACGGGCTTCCCTTACGGGGGCGTTGCCCCCCCACGGATGGGGGCGCTTCTCGGGGGCGCTTGGCCCTTGCTCGGGGCAGGCACTCGCCCCACAGCAGCGCCCAGGGACCCTGTCCCTCACTCGGGATGTGTCCCAGCCCCCGGAGGCGCCTGGCCCGCAGCAGGCTCTTGGTGCTTCCTGAAGGCGTGAGGGCGCGAATGGACGGACGGACGGCGGCCTCCTGTGTCTGTAGCTTTGAAAAAGTTCTTGACAAGGGAGTCCCGTGTCTTTTGCAGGGGCAGCCACGAGTGGAGAAAGCTGATCATGGTCCACCACTGGCCGGCAGCCGTGTGCATGGTGAGTGGCTCCGCCCCGCGGCCCTGGCCCCAGCGAGCTCCCCGGGGGCGGGAGGAGTTCATGGGGCGCCCCTCCCCGAGGGCCCGCGACAGGTCCCGGGGCTGCGGCCCAGCACCGCCAGCCGGGTGGCTCGGGGTGTCAGATGCGTGTCTTCTCAGTTCTGCAGGCGGAGTCTGAAGCGGAGAGGGCGGCAGGGTTGGCCTCTTCTGGAAGCTTCTGCCACTGCGGCCAGTCCTTGGGGTGCTGGGCTTGTAGGCACATCACGCCCGGTCCGCTCTGCGGCCCCAGGGCGGCCTCCGTTCTGTGTCCCTGCCCCAGGGACTGGACACAGTCTGGTCCCACCCCGCCTTTAGTCGATGACGCCGCGGAGACCGTGTTTGCAGATACGGCCGCGGTCGCAGGGCCTGGGCCAGGACCCAGCCCGTCTTTGCCGGGGCCAGGACTCAGCTCGCCACAGGGCCCACCCGGCTCCCCCTGTTTCTGCGAGTCGGGTCGAAACATGTCCGCGGAGCCCGCAGGCCCCCTGGCTCTGCTCCGCGCGGCTGCGCTGCGCATCCTGCCTGTGCCTCGGTCTCATCCTGGGCCCGCTGACCTTAGAGGGCCACCGCGGGGGGGCCCTGTTTGAGAGGGAGGGGAGTCCGTCTCCGCTCGGGGGGCGGGGGGGCCCTGTCTCGGTGGGGGGCCCGCCCCAGCCTGCCGCCGTCTGTGGGTGGTGCCGAGCGCCGCTGTCACTGGCCCGGAGCGAAGGCTTTGCGTCACGGACGACGGCCCCTAAGTGTGTGGAGAGTGCTTCTGAAGCTTTCACTCACGAATCTGCGAGACAAGAGGCCCCTCGTTTAACTGCTGAGAGCTGGGAGCAGCCAGTGACTTCCCTGGGGCTTGGCCGCCTCCTGGCCCCTGCGGCTCCCTTCCTCTTCCTCACCGGCTGCTGCTTCCGTTCGCAGAGGAGGATCAAATATCACTTGTACCCCCCCGCCCCAGGTCATCCTCCTGACGCAGCGACATTTCTAACAGTGCACACGCACTGCACGAGGCTCCCCAGCCCGCCCGCCGTCCCCCCCCCTCCTCTGCTCTGGGGGCAGGCGGGCAGGGGAGGGCCAGCTGCCTGTCCCCTGTGCCTCGGGGCAGTTAGGAGGGGTGGCAGGAAGGACCTGTGTGTGGAGAGCTGTGTCTTGGGCCGTGCTGGAGGCCCCCCTGAGGGCAGGGGATGGGGCCCTGGTGGGTGCGGTCAGGCACTGATGGAGCCTCCCCTGGGAGAGCCTCCCTGGCCCGAGGCGTTAGAAGTGGGGCTTCAGCAAATTATTAACGAGCAAAACGTGACCAAGGAATTAATTTCAGTCTGGGGCACCGTGGGAGGGGGTCTGCCCCCTCGCCCAGGCACCGCCCTGGGGGCCTTTCCCCGGGCGGGAGGTGGGCCCCACAGGTGCGGGGACAGGTCTGTCCTCGGCGCTCAGCGCAGTCCCCGGGCACCTGCCGGAATCCTTGCTGGCGATGAAGACAAGCTGCCACCTGCCCCCCGGCACCCCGTGAAGGCTCCTCCCAGACACAGGGTGCGGAGCGGCGGGCGGCCCACGCTGGTGCTGGCCTTGCCCTGCCCACCCCGCCGGCCGGGGCCCCGGGGCCTCCGCGGGGGCGAGGTCCACGGCCGCTGCCCCGACCCCGCCCTGCCGCCCTGCCCCTCCGCCTGGCCATCCTCCCGGCAGCGGCTGCAGTCCCTTCACCAGACCCCTTAATGTCCAGACCGGCCACAGGAGCAGTGGTGCCCCCAGACAGCGGTTCAGAGAGGAAGGGCCTGGGGGTGGGGCGCCCCTCCCCGGCCCTCACCCGGTCCTTCCTGTTTGCATGTCTCACTTGATAGTGAAAATGTATTTCTCGGTGGCCGTGTATTTTGGAAAACCTCCATTTTAGCCAAACAGCTAAAAGTGGAGGTCCCTAAAGAGTCACGCCGACGGGGTCTCTCACTCGCGCTTGCCCCTGCTCCCACCCAGCGTCTTCCTGGCTCCGGGGTCGACAGCTCCTGTTCCGCTCGTGCACTTGGACTTGGTGCCTGAACGAACGGGAGGCTAGTCCTCAGCCTTTAGTCTCAAGCCGTTGTCTATGTCATGGGATGGGGACGTCGCTCACAGGCAGGAGTGTTTGCATCAGATCGACTTCATCTGCAAGCACAGAAAAAAGGGCGAAACCTGGTCTTTCGCTCCGTCATTCAGGCCGAGGACGGGCCCACCCAGTGCGAGTGCGCCCTCCCGCCCCGTGCAGTTCCCTCACCACGGTCTCGCGGGGGCGGATTTATTGCACGTTCGCGCGAAGCGCGAAGTTTATTTTGTGTTAATCCTGTGTCGGGTGTCGCCGATGTGTGTCTAAAGAAAGGGAGGTCGCTAAGTGGATCTCAGTAAGCAGTGTCCCAATAATTCTCTGTCTTTTTTAGGAAGTTGAAAATGACTGTAGAAACCCCCCGGATTACTGGACGATACACGGACTCTGGCAAGTACCCAACGCGCGGAAGTCGGACGCCGCAGGAGGCTGGCTCCGCGGACGCTCTGGCTCGAGTCCCGGCCTGACGTTTATGCTTGGGATGCTGTCTGGAGTTTATGCCAGTAGACCCTACGGTTTACTCAGTAGATCACATCTTCGTTTAAAAATACCTTTAGTGTTTCTAACCGAATCCTACTTCTGTTGGTGTTGTTTAGGTCCACTTCGATATGCATTTAAGGATTCTGGGTATATTTTAGGATTACTAAATTTTAATTTTCTTATTTCTTCTTTGGGGGGCAATAAATAAATATATATAATTTATATATAATCATTTTTTATTTCTTTATATTTTAAAGATTTTATTTTTCGAGGGGAAGAGAGAGACACATGGATGTGTGGTTGCCTCTCGTGCGCCTCCTGCCGGGGACCTGGCCTGCATCCCAGGCCCGTGCCCTGACCGGGAACTGCACCTGCAGCCCTTCCGTTCACAGGCAGCGCCCCAGGCCCCTAAGCCGCACCGGCCAGGGCTGTGTAATCTATGCTACATGCACTCCACAGACGCCCAGGTTTATTTGTCTGCTTTTGCCCGCACTTTGTTTAGTTTATCCTTTTGCCGTCCGGGCGTGCGTTCGGGGCGCCAGGCAGCGCACACTAACGGGCCTCGCCTGCTGCGCAGGTGAGAGGCGCCCCTCTGGATACGGCCCGCGCAGGCGCCCCTGGGGAGCGGGTCAGCGAGAGCGGGTTCACCCGGCCCCTGTCCGCCCTCCCCGCCGCTTGTCGGGGCCCAGGCACTTCAGTGTGAGGGACCCTGGCTTTCTGGGGTTGTCTGCGCCTCTGCTGCCTCACCTGTGACCAGGGATGACAGTGCACAGGGATGCTCCTGTCTGGGGTGGGGCACCTGTTCCAGGTCAGGGACACCTGTTGACGCCGAAAACATCTCAGGGGTCCGGAGAGAAGGTTTGGCGACCCTGTGGCCCAGGCTCAACCTGTGGATACGTGAGGACACAGGGACGTGCGGACGGACGGCTTGGTGCTGTGAAGAGCCTTCCCAGCTGGCCTGCCGTCAGCACGGGCACTGAGCCGGTTATAGACATTGTCCCCTTGGCCCACACCCCCTTAAAGGGGCAGAGCCCCTGCTGCGCCCCCGCCGCGGCGGTGGCGGGGCTTGCATGGCGCAGCTCCGGGACTGGCTGGGATCCGTGGCTCGAACCCCGCGGACCCGCCTCGGAGCGCCCCCTGCGGGGTGCCGCTGTTTGCACCTGGCGGCCCTGTGCCCCAGCCTCGGCAGGGTCTGCGGGGTCGGTGCCTGGGCCTCGTTGTTAAGGGGCCGGCGTGGCCGGAGCGTCCCCACTGCACGTCCCTTTGTCCTCCACAGTCCTTAGTGCGGTGTTTTCTCCTGTCCTTGGGAACCCCTCCCAACCAAGACGAAAATCTCTCTATTTTTACATTTCAAGGGCCGACAGAGCTGAAGAGTGCAACCGCTCCTGGCACTTCAACCTGGACGAGATTAAGGTACAAGCTCCTCATCCTGACATGGCTGCGTGGGGGTCGCCCTGGGCCGCGCGGGCGCCCTTGGAGCTGGGGTTTGCAGAAGGGCCGCGGCTCGCTCCCCCGATCGGCCCCTGGCACCTGAGGGCGTGTGAGTGCCGACAGCAGCCCCCAAATGAAATAGGAACAACCCCCCTCCTCGGCCCAGGGCCCTGGGAGCGCGCTGTGGGCGGGGGCCGCAGGTCGGACGGCGGCCTCTCGCCTGCCAGCCCTGAACCTCCGCCCCGCCGCCCCTGCCTGCTTGGCAGACGGCAGGCACACCCAGGCTGCTGTGGCTTGCAGAAGAGACACACAGCGGCTCCTTGGCTGTCCTTTGTGTCCCTGGTGGGGTGGGCTCCTGCCTGGGGCTGTGAGCGGGGAGGAGGTGACCGGTCCTTCCAGTCCAAAGGCGTCTGTTACAGAAAACTGCAGGGCCGGAACTTAGGAGCGAGGCTGGCCGATGTGCCGCCTCCCGCACACACGCACGTGTGTGTGTGTGCATCCACACCGGTGCTCACTTTTTCTTGGGGGGTGCGGCCAGCCACCTGCCAGGGCCACTGGTACCTGGACTTCAGGTCACCAGGGCCCCCCGGCTCCGTGGGGCAGCTCAGGGGGTGCTAGAATTGTGGGTCCTTCCCAGGAACGTGCCGCCTCCAAAGGACAAAGTAATGAGTTCTAAAGCCACCGCAGGCTCTAGTCCCAAGGGGTTATTTTCCAAAGGGTCCCTGTGGGGACCCTCAGTGGTGTGGGCCCCAAAGCCTGGTGACGTCACCCCCCTCAGACGTAGTTTCCTCTTCCCAGACCCACTTCATCTCCGCCAGATGCCGTAGGGATGTTCCTGATTAAATCATGAGACCCTAGAGTGGAACTGGAGATTAATGTATTTAGGGACCACACGTGGAGCACCCGCTGTGTGCCAGGTCCTGTGCTCAGGGCGGGAGAGGGCGAGCACAAGCGGGCGTGGTCCTGGCCCACGGTGCTTGCAGTCGGGGAGGCAGGTGCTAGTGGTGTCACCTCAGCCACACAGAATGATAGGCCGGGTGCCTGGAGAGAGCAGTGGCCGGAGCCTAGGGCCGTGGACCCCCCCTCCCCGAGGCTCCTCTGTGGAGGTGACATTCGAGCTGGAATCCAAGTTAATTAGGTGGCAGGCGAGGAAGGCTGGGGACGCAGCAGGCGCAAAGGCCCCGCGGTAGAAAGTGGGAGTTGGGAGGAAGCCGCGGGGCTGGGTGGGCTGTGAGCCTGGGCCGCCTTCAGGGCCGGGTGCTACGGAGCCTTGGGTGCTGGTTCTGCATTGTCCCTCTCACCCGAGACCCCAAGGGAGGTCACTGGGAGTGTGGCAGCCGAGGAACGAAGGGACCCGGCGTGTCTTTCTGATGTTGCTCCAGCTGCCGTGTTAGCGGTGGGAGTCAGACACTGTTGGTTGACTGCAGTGTCCACATCAGCATTTGTCCCAAACAAAGCAGCCGAGTTTGGGCACTAAACTCTGGTGACTCTCCGTCACCCCGGGACGCCAGCCTGCAGGTGGAAGTGGGTGGTGATCGGGGCGCCCAGCGGGCAGCCCCCCCGGGGAGTCGGCTGTGGGAGGACGCCCCCCGCCACCGCCGGGTTGGGGAAGAGAGCTTGTGTTCCCTGAGGTGGTGGTTTGCGTGAATTACTAGATGCTACTTTTCAGGGCAGTCTTAGAAACCTTCAGAAAAGGGAAGGGGCGCTATGCTGCACGCTTGCTAGGATGGATGGACCAGCGCTGATACTTTGTTACTAACTAAAGGTCACAGCTGACATTAGGATCCCTCTGTGTGTTGGAGGTTCTGTGGGTTTGGGCAGATGTGTATCCACTGTCACAGTGTCATACAGAGCAATGTGACTTCCTGAACGTCTGTCTGCTGAGCCCTCTCTGTTCATCCCCCCACCTCCCTCCCCTGACCCTGGCAACCACAGATCTTTTTACTATTTCCGTAGTTTCCAGAATGTCATAGAGTTGGGATCCTACAGCCGGTTCAGACTGGCTTCTCTCAGCTGTCTGTGTATGAGCTCCTCCACGCCCTTCCGTGGTTTGATGGCCCGTCTGCCTTTCGAGTGCTGAATAGTATTCCCTTGCCTGGGTGGACCACAGCGGGTTTGTCCACTCACCTGTGAGAGCTTGTATTTTCAAATGCGGTTATGGTTACTCAGGTTTCCCTTTTAGATATGGTACATCTTGAATACTTCATGCAAAGTAAGCACACAATTCTAACAAGTCGCCCGCCTGAGTGTTACCAATGGCACAGTTCCTGCTGCGCGCTAGTTTATCTGAATTCTTTGATTACACGCAGGATCTTTTGCAAGACATGAGGATGTACTGGCCTGATGTCCTCCACTCGCCGGCCAATCGCAGCTCTTTCTGGTAAGTTCTGGCAGCGTCGCGAGCCTCAGGCGCATTGAGACCCTCGCCCGTGCTCTCCCTCCAGGGGAGCTCTGGACGCGCGGGTGACAGGCGCGCGCAGCCGGTCCTCCGGGCGGAGGGGCGTGGCCGCCGATACCCGGGAACAGCCCCTCCCCCGCGCGCGTGCGCGGCGTCGCTCCGCCCCGCCCCGCCCCGCCCCGCCCGCGGATGAGCGCGAGGGCAGCGCCGAGCGCTCCGCTCCGGTCGCTCCAGTCGTTACAGCGCCTTCGAGGTTTCCTCTGCGGCGGCTCAACTGCCTTGCAGACCTGAGAAGCCGTCGCTGCGAATCAGAGAGGACAGAATGGTTCTTAAAGAAGCTGTGCTGAAACGGACCAGGGGAAAAGGAGACCTGGTTAAGGAGGCGAGGCCGTTGGCCCGAGGACCCAGGGAGGACAGGAGGGCAGCGTGTCCTGAGGTCCGGCCGCGGGCCGCTCGGCCGCGCCCCTGCAGCGCCTTGCAGCGCAGCCGGCGCTCAGCTGAGGAGGAACGTGCTGCGCTCAAGACGGCTGTTAAAAATCGTTGTTTTTGAGGAAGACAAAATTAACCTTTTCATTTATATTTAAATTAAGGGAAGATAGTTCTTCATCTTCTCCATCTCACTCCAACTTGTCAATTTACAAATCAGATGACAACTGACCAGATTCTATCCCAAAAGGTTAACTTAACCTGAAATATTTTTTGTGGAATTTTCAGGAAAAGAGGGGGGACGAGAGAAAAGCTTTTGAACGCAAAGCGGAACGACAGGGGTGTCCGCGCCCCTGGTCCCTAGCGCCCCGCACGGGCCCTCCGTCGGGGGCGGGGCCGGAGCGCGGCCTAGGGCGGTGGGTCCTGGTCCGACAGCCACCCGCCTCCCGCCCCCGACACAGGGGCGGCACAGGGGCGAGGAGGGGCGGTTCGGCGCCCTCGGACGGGCCTGCGCGGCCTGAGGGGTCCACGTGGGCGATGCCCGGAGGACCTGAGCGGGGAAGGAGCGCTTCTGCGGCGCTTCGCCGCGCTGCCCGGCGTGAGGACGGCGCGCACGAAGCACAGTGCCGCCGGCGGTAGCAGTGGTCCGTGATGGAGCCGGTCACGTTTCTGCCCCTCGGCTTCAAACCTCGGTCCACAAGGTGGACAGAAGGTCTCCCGTGGGTCTGTCCTTGCAGCGCCTTCGTTCATGGAGACAGCGTGGGCCACGTGCGCTCTTGGCTTCGAGCTGCGTGGAGGCAAAGCGATTCACTTTTTCAGGCCGGATAGTTCACACACTTAGAACTTTCTGTTCTGGGACAGAAGTAGACGCTACCCACTGCCATTGACGTTCTCCAGGGCTCCGCAGTACAGCGCGGAGGCCACCGGGAGGCGCTGTCTCCATTCGCTGCACGTGGACCCCAGCTGCCCGGTCACCTTTACTGTGGGAGGGGGGTGTCAGAGGGGTCCCCCGGCCTCGCCGCCCAGCCAGCCGTCAGCAGGGAGAGGCTGCCGTCAGAAAGCTGTGCTGTTTAATGCCAGATAAGGACCAGGCATGCAGAGCAGGCGGCCTTGGTGTTGCAAGGGCTGGAGGTCAACCCCGGGGACTAACCCTCTCGGTGCCGTTAGCCGTGTCGGGAGGTGCTGCACACACAGCCCTCTGCTCCTGGTTCTCGTCGGGAGGGGAACCAGAGCTGGGCCTGGCCCGGTGTGGCCATGCAACTTCCCTGGGGAAGGTGTCCCTGGGCCTCAGCAGCCGGCCCCTGAGGTGGCCCAGGCTGCCACGGGAGGGTCCCCCCAACCTCTGCTCGTGCGCCCTGCCTGGGGGTTGGGGGAGAGGAGAGGAGGCCACAGGACGATCACTTCTGATTGGCAACTGACAACTTGGCTTTAAGCTCAGGATTTTTTTTTTTTTTTTTTTTTAGAGAGGAAGGGAGGGAGAAAGAGAGGGAGAGAAACACCCATGTGTGGTTGCCTCTCGTGCGCCCCCTACTGGGGACCTGGCCCGCATCCCAGGCAGGTGCCCTGACTGGGAATCAAACCGGCGACCTTGAGGTTCGCAGGCCGGCTCTCAGTCCACTGAGCCACACCGGCCAGCCAGCAGCTTCATGGCTTTTTAACCAGGGCTGTTGTGCGACCTTCCAGGAAGCACGAGTGGGAGAAGCACGGGACCTGCGTCGCCCAGCTGGACGCCCTCAACTCCCAGCAGAAGTACTTCGGCAAGGTTCTGGACCTGTATAAGGGGCTCACCCTGAACAGGTAGGCGCCTGCGGCCGGGCGGCTCCCCGCGGGCCGCCCCTGTGTGGCAGCCTCTCCTTTGCGCCTGACTCTCAGGGGTGACGTCCCCATCGCTGGCTGAGCACCGAGCCACTCTGAGCGGAAAGGCCCCTCCTTCAGCGCCGTGGGCCCCGCTGAACGAACGGCTGGTGCGATCGTTGTGAGTGATACTTGTGTCTCCTGCCAGGCCTCTCCCCGTCACTCTGGGTCCTGGCCAGGCAAGGTGGACACAGGGACTCGGGCCACCTCCCTGGGTGGGGACGTCATCAGACGGTGCATCGGCCTGAGGGAAACAGGACTGACCAGGGCGTGCCTCGTCCAGCCGCGATTTCCGGCAAGAGCGTGCTGAGTTAACAAGCCGGCTTCTCTGCAGCCTGGCTGTCAGCGCCCCGTGGGGCTTCGCTGCGACGCTCCTGGAGTAGCAGGGACAGTGATGGGCCCGGTCCTGGGGCCTAGAAAGCACCCAAACCCTCGGAATCCGGCCCAGCCTGCCCCTCGCCCCCCCCGCCCCCCGGGGCAGGGGGACAGGTCCCTGCTCGGAGCTGCCAGACTCGCGGAAGCCGTCCCCGAGGCGCCCTGCCGAGGGCCGGGCCCAGCCTGCCCGCCGGGCCGGAAAACGACCCCAAACCCTAACACCCCTGCGCTGTCCTCCGGATCGCAGACCGTTACTACAGGGGATCTTTTTCTCAGAGGCGAGCCTCACACATTGCCGTACGCTAGCAGGTTTTTCTAATTCACTTTATAATATAAAAGCAGCAAACCCGAAAAATGCAAATGTCTTAACCGACTAGATGGACTGGGGGTCACCGGCAAACTGAAGTCTGTAGGAAGCATGACGCGCCCGTGGGGGCCACACGCCGTGTCCCCGGAGGGTTCCCGCGGTGACTGGTTTCCCAGGGGCCTGAGTCGGTGGTGGCCCCCCCCCCCCCCCCCCGGCGCAGCCCAGCAGGGGGGCCATGTGGGCCGGGGGCGATTTTTCATGGTGTGACCACCTCATGAGAAAGCAGAAAGAAACAGCCTAACTTTATAACTACTTTCATGTAATCCAATGTATTCACAATATATCACCACCGCCCTAATAAGTATGTAAATTGAGGAATTTTGCATTTGGGGCACCAAGTCTTTGAAGTCTGGCGTGTCCCCTACAGGGTCAGTAGCCCAGGGCCGGCAGCGGGCAGGCTGGGCTCCTGGGCTCGAGGACCTGGGCCCCGCCCCCCGCTTGCTCCAGGGCGTCACGGCCCAGGGCGCGGGACCGAGAGGGGCTGGCCTGTCAACTCAGGTCCCTTTGTCAGAAACCCCGGCTGGAGCGGGGCGCCCTGCGGAGCGGCCGTACAGTCCCCAGGCCCGCTCCTCACGGCTGCAGCGCAGGCGACCCAGGGAGGCGTGGGGGGCCAGAGGGCCCGGGGCACTGTCCATGGGAGCGTTTTCACTCCACCTCCGCGGTGCAGTAGGTCCCCTGCGCGGCACTTGGGCGGATGCGCGGGAGCTGGTGGAAACCGCGGGCCACAGGAAGGGCAGGGCTGCTGGTGTTCGCTGGAGGTGGAGGTCTGGCCGCGCGGGCTCCTAGGGTGCGCCCGGAGCGCAGGGCTGACGCGAGCGTCTCCCAGAGCCTGCGCGGGCCCCGTGGACGCGCCCGCAGCCGGAGGGCGGCCCAGGTCCGCGGGGCTGGGTGCAGCAGCCGCCTCCTGCCACTTGCTGGCTGTCCTTGTTGGCAGGAGCCAAAGCACTCGCCTGTGAGAGCCTGTGAATGTCTACTCTGGAATGTGGTGTTTGACAAGATCAAGAAAGGAAAACAGACCTTCATCATACAGCTAATTTTTTTTTTTTACTTTAAATTTCAGCGTGCTCCTAAAATTGGGGATAGTACCATCTGGCAATTACTATCAGGTAAGTCTTGCTTTGGGCTTCTTGTCAAATGCATCCCTTCTGACCTGGGGACACCCGCAGGTTAAAGGGTCAGCCTGGCAGCTGCCCTCAGGCTTAAACGGCCCAGACGGTGCCCGTCCCACCGCACTGTTGTGCTTCTAAAGAGACTCTGTCTGAGCTTCGCGTCCCCCGCCCATCGGGTGCTCGCAGAGGCGCCTGCACCCGTGGTTGGCGGCGTGTTCCCGGACGGACAGGGCAGCAGGGTGAATGGTGGGGGAGCGCTCGGTGTGGCCCTGTGTTTGGGGGAGAAACATTGGTTCTCGCTTTCATGGCGGCACTGTGATTTTTTTAAAGATTTTATGTATTTATTTTTAGAGAGAGTAGGAAGGAGGGGGAGAAGCATCAATGTGTGAGAGAAACATTGATGGCTTGTGTCTCCGCCCACACCCCGGGCCTGCGCCCTGACTGGGGATCGAACTGCGACCCTTTGGTTCTCAGGCTGGCACTCAGTCCACTGAGCCACGCCAGCCGGGGCTGATTTTTTGTTTTGTGATAAAGCTGTAGAAACTTAAGCCTGACCAGGTCTTACTGGCAGGTAAGCACACCCAAAAGCAAGGTCAGGCTGGCTCACAGCCGCACCTGTCCCTCCGTCCTCTGTGGCCCCTGCGCGGCCGCCAGCAGAGAGCATGTGGCCGCAGGGCACGCGAGGGTCACTCTGGCCTGCTCCTGGGTCAGCTTGCTGACCCTCACGTTTCTCGGACATGGTTCTGTATCTGTCGCAGGTGTGAGTGAACAGGGTTGACTGTCACCGGTAACGGTGCTGTGGCATAGGCACCGGGGCCGATGGCGTGGGACACCCGGGGCCCTTGGGCCTTGCTCTGTGGTGTCTGTGCTGCGTCTCCTCCTCCCACCAGGGAGGCTGCGGGGGAGGCACAGTGACCTCGGGGACCGACTACCGCTGCCTTCTGACTGTCCTCCGAGGAAGCCCTGAAAAAGGGCGTTGCAGGCCCCGGCTGGTGTGGCTCGGGGGACTGAGCGCCAGCCTGTGAACCAAAACGTCGCCGGTTTGATTCCCAGGCAGGGGACAGGCCTGGGTGGCAGCCAGGTCCCCAGCAGGCGGTGCTCAAGGGGCAACCATATGTGGATGTTTCTCTTCCTCTCTTTCTCCCTGTCTTCCCTTCTCTCTAAAAACAAATTTTAAAAAGTTTTTTAAAAAAAGAAAGGAAGACAGCGTGTTTGCAGGCCCCAGATTCACCTGGACTCCCGTTCAAGCAGATGAGGGAACGTGAGTTACGTTTTGCCCAGGACCAGGTTTCGAGTCTGTTAACAGCAGCAGCGGCCACGAGCGCTTCCGGAGCTCCCACGTGGCAGGCGCTCTGCGAGGCGCGAGGCTGGCACGGCGCGCAGCCCGGCGGCAGGGCCTGGCGGACGCGCGTTGGCTGGATTGGCCATTGGGCATTTTCTGCTTCTGCACCCGTCCCCCAGGCTCTGGGTGCAGGCGGGCAAGCGGGGCAGGCAGAGGAGAGTGTGTGGCCGAGGCGTGGTGGCTGGAGGCCACGTCCTGTCCTGGGGTGGGGGCGGGGGCGGGGGCTCCTCCTCCGCACATCCCGCCCTGTCTGCCAGCCAGGGCGGCGCTCAGCGAGGACACTGCCGTCAGCTGCGCTGGCGAGGATGTGAGCCAGGGTCACGTCTGCGTAGGCGGCTGCTAGACTTTCTCCGTGGAAGTTTCATTTCTAACGCACTCCATTGATTTCAGATTTCAGACATCAGAGATGCCCTTGGCAGCTTGTACGGAGTGCTGCCTAAAGTCCAGTGTCTTCCGCCAGAGCAGGTCAGAAGTGCTGTTTGTTGACCTTCCTGTCTTTATCAAGAAGACAAGTTCCCCCTTGTGGGCAGCTTTGCGCTCACCCTGGGGCCGCTTGTGTGTCTGTGCTCATGTGTGGCACAGGTGTGTGTGCGCACGCACACAGTGTAAACGTGGGCATGTACTGTGGGTGCTCTGTGGGGGGGGGGTGTTGAAATCACCTTGTTCTTTGGCTCCCGGCCACACAGGGTTTGTCCCCTCACCCCTTCCCAGAATGCTCCTGTCCCTGAAGGGCCGGTAGAGAGGGGCTCTTGCCGCAGCTGACGTTCCCGATGAGACTGCGAGTCTCAGAGACTCTGTCCGATTTACAGACGGGTCGTAGCCTGTTTTGTCAGCGGAGGGAGACGGGGCTCTCAGGGTTAGGGTGCTGTCTGCCGGTTTATCCAGGAGGCCGTCCCCCCGCAGTGTTGTGGGGCAGGCGTGTGTGCGGCTTTGCCCGCCCGCCTCAGTAGCTGGGTGAGCTCCTAGGAAAGCAGCTGGGTGGGGACCTAGAGTCCCAGCGGCACCTGGGGCCCTTGCCCAGGTCGGTGTCGGGGGAAGGGCTTGCTCCTGGAGTGCGGATCCCAAACCAGGAGGTGCCCCTAGTTCAAGGTCAGTGTCGCGGCGACTGTAGAGCCAGGGTGCTGGTCCCGGTCGAACTCTCACCCGCCCTCGTCTCTCGTGCTCAGGGGGAGGAGGTGCAGGTGCTCGGCCAGATCGAGCTGTGCTTCACGAAGGACCTGCAGCTGCGGAACTGCTCGGAGCCCGGGGAGCCCGGCGGCGGGGCCGGTGCGGGGCCGGAGGGGGCGCTGCGGAGCCTGGAGGTCTGCGCGGACGGCCCTGTCTTCTACCCGCCGGTTCCTGGGGGCGGCCGCTGAGGCCCACGTCCGGACGCGCGCTGTGTTTGAAGAGCAGGAGACCCTTGCGGAGCACCGCTTTCAAAACAGTGACTGCAAAGCGAAGGCTTGTGTTTACAGTGGTCTGCAGTTCAGCCCGTTTCCTTTTGCTTTTCGCGTCCTGAGAGTGGGTTTTTGTGGTACGTGGAATAAAGCTGTGTTTTCTCTTTTTCCTCCTGTGTTTGTCTCTATCACCTTTGGAAGACCAGGCGGGCACCTCAGCGTCTGACAGGTGGCTGGGACCCGGGAGAGCTCCCCGCTGTCCCCCGGAGCGAGCAGCCTTCTTGGCCCGGGGCCCCTGGGCACCTGCTGCCACGCTGGGGACGCCCCCACGCCTGCCTCGGGGCTGACCGAACACGGCCCCCGGCCTCTGCCCTGCGGCCTGGCGTGGGCACGGGTGAGTCGTCCGGGGGCCCGGGGGCCGCCCCGAGGGGGCGGCAGGCCTCTTCCCCTCCGGGGGGGCCGGGGTGCGGTAGGAGGTGCCGGGCGGCGTCCTGCCCGGCACGGGTGCTGCCCCGCACACGAGCCCCACGGTCAGTTTACACAGGTGCCCCTTCCTTTCTGTCGGGAGGCCACCCAGGCCACCAGTCCGGCAGCCCTTAGGGACACAGGGGCCCGACGTGGCCGCCCTCAGGGAGCCCTGCCTTCGATGCGTGGCACTGTGGCTCTCCTTGTAAACGTGAAGAGGGCCCAGGCTCCCCTGCGGCCCTGGGACATCATCTGTGAAGGGGACACTGAACGGTCAGGGACGTGAATGTCCCGGGCTGTGTTAAAACTCTCCTTTGACCTCGTTTCTCCCCGGTCTCTGCCTTTTTTAACATTTTTGGATATGTGGGTTAAAATACGACCCGTTGGTCTAAGTCATGTTGGTGTCTTATTAATTGTATCTAAAAAACAATTAGAATAGAACTCTTTGCCAGGCATTATGCTAAGCACTTTAAAAATATTAATGTATTTAATCCTCTTAGAATAACCATATTTTCAAAATAATCCTACCTTTAAAAAAAGCCTATTACAATAGCGCCCCCTCATCCACGGGGTACGGCCCTCCAGCAGATGCCTCAAGCTGGGCGTTAACAAAATCTACGCAGGGCGGGGCAAAAGCAAGCTTGCAGCTGCTCGTCTGGGAAACAAGTAAACCACAAGGCAAGACTAAGCTGTGTTTCCCGTGCCCCTGCTGACTCGGAACCTACCTCCGCCCACCCTGTGCGCCGTCTCTCCTGGACAGACACCCGCGATGAGGCTCAATTTAGAAATTAGGCGCCGGGAGAGGCTAACAGTAACCAATAAGACAATAGAGCAATTCTGACAATACGCCGTAATAAAAGCGACGTGCGTATGGTCTCCTTTTCTCAAAACAGCTTCCTGGCGCGTGCGTACAGTGTGGGCAGACGCGGGGCAGTCGCGCGCCCCGCATCCAGGTGGGCGCAGCGGGCGGCACGAGGCCTCCACGGGCTGCTCACAGCAGCGGGCGGCTCCTACCTTGGGGACAGCGTCCCTCTGGGGTTTGCCCTTCACGGGCAGACTGGTCGCCCAGGGGGGCCGATGCGGGCAGCACACGGTGCGGGCAGCACACGGTGCGGGGGGTGGGGCTGCGAGCTGGAGGGGCCTGAAACTCTCAGGAGCGAGGTTTCCTTCCTCGGGATTTATGATGCTGGTTAGCTGACAAGTCGGCGTAATCGATTCCAATAGCATGAAGGCATTAACGAGTGCCGCATCGCTCATCAGAGAAAACCCTCATTTTACCCCCTGCAGGCTGATGCGCGGAGGCCTTCCGCGGGCCCCGGGGCCGCCGGGGCTTCAAGCGGCAGGCGGCGGCCGCACAGGCCCAGGCCAGGAGGGGCGGCGCCGCCCGGGGAGGACCTCCGCCCCTCGCGGCTTCTGGTGGGACGTGCTCACCTCACCCAGCCCCTGCCCCCGGGCCCGCGGCGCCCCCTGCACCCGCCTGTCTCTGTGCCCCCGTCTCCCTCCCTCTTCCCTTAGGGCCCAGTCACTCTGGACCAGGGCCCAGCCCTGCAACCTCGTTTGCACTGACGGCTTCTTCGAAGACCCTGTTTCTAAATAAGGCCGCATGCACGGGCCCCCTGGCCAGAACGCGATGTTTCCTGGGAGCCCACAACCCGCCCTGCCCCACCCACAAGCCAAACCTGTGTGGCTGCCTGTATTTTGGGTTCTTATTGGCTGTGATGTCTAATTGTCCCAAAGAGGGACCCGCTGCAAATTACCTGCGTAAGGAAATGAGGAACGCGGGACTCGTGGAGGAGGCCCGCACCAGCAAGTCGGCTTTATTGGTCGGGGCCGGAGGGCTTGGTTGGTAACTTCGCCTTCCCGGTAGCGCACACAGACTGATGATATGACCACAGCTGCTAAGTTCTCCACGGGTGCGTTCAAGACGTGCACAGCGTCAGTACAGCCACTGGAACTTCAGGTGTGACGGACGGCACATCAACAAACCTCCGGGAGACGGAGAAGGCCGCCCACAGCCCGGCCCTGGCGAGGGAGCAGGGAGAGAACGTGGTTAAAGGGCCGTGGGGTTAGTCCCGTGGTTTTGCCAGAACATGTCTCAGCAGATCATTCCCCTGGAACCAATGGGTCCTTTTGCATGTGGAGAGTCCCCTCTTTCAGCTCTGGAATGTTTTCAGGGGTGAGACAGTGTTAGTCCTGTTGCCATGGTTTTCTTCTCTCGGGACACCTATCACACACGTGCTAAGCACGGGAGGGAAACCACAGGCTTCCTGTGCACAGAAATGTCAGCGAAGCCCAAAGGGTGCAGCAAATAGAGAAAGAGGGCGCAGAACCTACAGCCACAGCGGCTGCCACAGGGCACGCGAGAGAATCGAGGGCGAGCGCATCGGCCACACGCACAGGGCCCGGCAGAAGGGCCGCCCGCCCGCGGTGGGCAGGGGACACGTGGATGCCTCGCGCCGGACGGGCCGCAATTCGAACGCTTCACCTGACGCGTCCTGCGCTGTGCTCGAGTGGGATGTCGTCACGTTACAGAAGTACATGCCTATGATTTTGTAATAAAAAAGGGGCGTTGTTTGTGCCGGGCCCTGTGTCTATTCATGCAAATGGTCGTCAGGAGTCCATTTAAAGGAAGAGATGTTCAGGTTGGCTCCAAAACACAACCCAGCTCGTGGTATGAGAGACACCCCTGAAACACATGATTCAGGACGGTAAGAATCGCACAGGGACCGAGATCGCCGGCAAATGGGGATGGCAGGGACACGCGTTGCTGTCCTCACGCCAGACGCGGCTGGGTTTGTCCCCGAAAGCTCGTGGGGAGGCGCCGGGCGGGGGGCGTGATAATGCCTGAAGGTAAGCACTGCCCTATAAACCGGTTTTCTGAGCCAGATGCTGAATGATAAGTGTCACCAAGTGACTGTGTCCAGAGTTTGATCAAAAGCGGTACCTTTGTTTTCAGCCTCCTCCAACAGAGGCCGGAAGTGGCCCTGTGCTGCCGTGCGTGTGGGCGGGGCCGAGGCCAGCCTCTCAGGAAGGAGGGCGTCCGGCGCGCCCGAGGCCTTGTCCTTTGGAGGTCACCGCGGCGCTCAGGCCCTTCTGTCCCCACGTTCCCCAGGTGCCTGCCGCCAGCAGTGGGTTCACCTCACGAGCCCAGCTGTTTGTGAAACGTAACCAAGGGACCTCATCTCGCGTCCAGGCCGGCTCACGTCCCGGCTGACCTCGCTGTCCTCCGCAGTGCCCTGAGTCACAGGGAGCCTGGTGTCTCCGAGTCGTTCAAAGGTTGCTCCTGTTTCCCTGGAATCATTTTGCAAACACCTGGCTCGAGGCTGGGGCTCTGCGGCACCCACTCCGGACCCGCCGGGAATCTGAACAAACCCCCGTGTGAACGGCGCTCTGTTCCCAGCCCCAGAGCGTCCCCGAGAGCAGAGCCTGGCACGTCCTCCGACGCCCGTCTGCCTAAGTCTACCTTTCTGGTTCTTTAAAAGCAATTAAAAAAAAATCAGGTATTTCTTGCACCAGTCGGATCATTTGCCGAGGGGCTTCCCCAGGAGGCGGCGCGGTGGGAGGGCTTGGGGGGCCGTGTGGCGGGCTCGGGAAGGACGCACAGGGAGAAGGAAGTGCAGCGGGAAGGCTTTGTTCTCGCTTTCCCGGGGGAGGGGCCGGGCCCTGAGGTTTTCATCAGGCGATGGGGAGGCTGCACAGCAGGACGTGCAGGTGGCCAGCGGCTCGTTTCCCTGGTCTCTCTGGGTGCGGGGTCCCGCGGTCACTGTGCTCTGGCACGTCCTGCTCCGTAAGTTCCCGGAGCCTCTGCGCCCTCAGGGTGCTGCCAGTAGTTTTCCAGCCCTGAGGATGGAGGCTCAGGAAACAGTGAGGGACAGTCAGGCTTGGGGGCCCAGCCAGCCCTGGGAAAGGGGCCTGCGAAAGGGGCTGCTGTCCTGCAAGGGGGACGGGCTGCGGAGGGAAGCGGGGGGTCGCTTCAGAGCGGCTGTGGGGACACGTCCGAGGGGTGCAGGAGGGGCGTCCGGGGCGGGGGGCCTGGGAGCGGATGTGCTGCCTATGAGGTGGGGGCCCCGCCCCGCTCCCGCGCGCTGTGTCCTTGGTGTGCAGCACAGACGGGCTCTCGGCGCCGCCGATAAACAGACGTGCTGTTCCGTCCCCCGGGCAGCGCGACAACGTGGCTCCTTCCCTGCCTGCCGGGACGCGTGTCCACCCCCCGTGACTTTCCGGAGTGGAACTCTCTAGGGGGGCCGTAGAACGCGGCCCATCTCAGACTCGCGGAAGCTTCCGCAGACCGGGCACTGCGTTTGGGGCCGAGCGCCGGCGGCTCTGCTTCCGCCCTGCCTTCGGTGCCACTGCCGTCTCTGCACCGTTTAGCGCACACGCAATGGGGGGACAGGGACAGGGACAGGGTGTTTGCTACATGCGCCGCGCTCGCCCGGGACGACAGCTGGGGAGTTGAGGCAGTTTACCACTTTGGCAGGAAAACAGTGAAACGCTGATGCGGCAGCGGGGCCCAGTCGGGCGGAAACATCGCCCTGCTGTCTCTGTTTTCCCGCTGGGCCGCGCCCTGGTCCACCGTGACCCCGCGTCTGCAGCGCCGCGCTTCATTCAGACTTTCCGCTCCCCTGGACGGGGCCGGCCTGCTACGTGCCCGGTTGTGTCCCCTGAGTTTTCCAAGGGAAGGACATTTGT